TATTTAAAATTAAACTGTTCATTTGAACAGAACACTCCAGATCAGAATGTAATGCATAAAACTTTTTGACAAATTACTTTTATAGTTACATTTTACCTTACCTCAGAGTGAAGGCTCGCAGGAAACTCCCTGAATTTATAAGAGTATTATTCTCAATACTATGTATTGATTTAGTATTTGTCACTTTTATGTTTTTTTATTGTATTTTTTTGTGTGTTACATTGTAGGCTGCTTAGAGCTGAGAAGTGAGGTGCCACACAAATTGCAGCATTTAACTAACTGAACTATCTTTGGGAGTCCAGTGATCAAGGCAAAAAAGTAATGGAAGTGGCTGGGGCCATCTTGGGTTTGGTTAATTTTGTGGAAGGAGTCCACAATTAAAGGCAAGAGTCCCTTTTTTAGTAGTCAAAGACCGTAATTAATATGTTTGGGGACCCTAAGGACAGCCTCACACATGCTGAGGTTGGGGTGGAAGATTTGGATTTTCTTTCCTTTTTTAGAAGGGATGTATCAATGTAGTGCTTATATTAGCATGTCCATAACTTTCCAACTTCAGAAATAGGGTCAAAGAGATGATCCTGAGTATCACAAAAAGAGGCCATGGGGGCAGAATGACCAACTACGGTTTGTGGCTAGGAAACATTATAGTGTCGAGATTTGAGTTGAGGATTTGTTGAAGAAGCTCTGGATTTGATCTTTGCACCACCCTGTCTTCCATTGAGTACCTGTATACTGCACAAGCCAGAAAGAGGGCTGTGAAAATATCTACAGACCCCTCGCATCCTGGACATAAACTGATTCAACTTCTACCCTCAAGATGATACTAGAGCATTGCACGCCAAAACAACTAGACACAAGGACGTCTTCCCCCCTCTGCCATCACTCTGCTAAACAACTAATTCCCACAACACTGTCAAACTACCTAGTAGGGCTGCATTACTATTATTATTCTCATCTTTCCTAATATCTATTTCTTTATCTTCTTATGACTATAGCTTTGTTGCTTGAATCTTATGATTTATATTGTTTTATTTACTATCACAATATGTTTTATGTTGATTGCTTATTTAGTATCTTATGACTATCACTAAGTGTTGTATCTTATGATTTCTGATGAATGTATCTTATAATGATTGTGATCATGATTTATCACTTGTTGCTTGTATGTACACTAAGAGCGTACGCACTGGAGACTAATTCCTTGTGTGTCCAATCACACTTGGCCAGTAAAGAATTCTATTCTATTCTATTCTATTCTATTCTATTCTATTCTATTCTATTCTATTCTATTCTGTTCCACAGGGTTTGCAGTAAGGATGGTAATCATTTTTAATCATATGGGTTTATGTCAGTGGTGAAATTCAATTTTTTTTACTACCGGTTCTATGAGCGTGGCTTGGTGGGCGTTGCGTGGCTTGGTGCACATGGCAGAAGGATACTGCAAAATCTCCATTCCCACCCCATTCTTGGGGAAGGATATTGCAAAATCTCCATTCCCACCCCACTCTGGAGCCAGCCAGAGTGGCATTTGCCGGTTCTCTGAACTACTCAAAATTTCCGCTATCGGTTCTCCAGAACCTGTCAGAACCTGCTGGATTTCACCCCTGGTTTATACCTTTTACCTTGGAAATACCTTGGAATTCAACTGGCCTTCATGGACATCAACAAGGACGGGTCTGAGAAACATGGGTAAGCACAGAGTGTCATTATGACAATGAGTTTTCTTTCATCGATTTGGATAATTGCACAGCAATTAGCAGTGAGCAAAGTGAACCATCCATCTTATAAGCCACAGCAAGCGAAACCTTTAGCATCTGGCATGATGTAAGAAATATACTGCTCTTTTTTATGTACTTAGTACTTGCAATCTTGAATCTCCAAAGTGTCTAACTCAGTAATGCAACTATTATTAAGTTGTTTAATAAAGAAGGAAGTTAGAAAATGAGGACTGGGGCAGCTGCAGCCCTGGCTGGATATTGGTTTTATGTGTTTTTTTCTGTTGTCAATCAGATTTGTCGTTTTGTTTTTTCTTTTTCTTTTCCAGATTGGCTGGAAAAGAACAAATTCCTTGTGTGTCCAATCACACTTGGCCAATAAAAATTCTATTCCATTCCATTCCATTCTATTCTGTGTTCTGTCTTATCTTGCTCCTATTTATTTTGCTTTTATTCTTTATATATTTCATGTATTTGTATTATTTTTTATATTGTTAGCTGTCCGATCTTTCTGGAGTTGGGTGGTCTCCAATGAATGAGTGAATGAATGAATCAATGGACATTGGACTTATTTTACTTTTCAGTTACGCTTCCCTTCAAAGATGATTATTATTTTTAACTCTGGCCAACATCATTTCATTTATTTACTTTTCTTTGGGAGCAAGAAAAAATTACATTTCCTAATTGCTGCAAGGCATTTAGTGGCAACATATTTCACCGTATATTCAGAACTATGTAAACAAGCATCTCACTCTTCAGAAAAGTTTTTTTGTAAACTATATAGTTGCTTTGGTTTCTGTATTAATAAATACAACACAACTTTGATTTGTATTTAATGTTGGACACTGTATTACACAATTTAGATAAATTTGTATCTGTGCCAGGTTGTTAGAATATGCCAGAACAAAAAAGGAATTGAAGTGAAGGATGAAGGCGAAGCATGAATGGACTTTGAACAAATAGCGAGAGAAAAGGAATCTATGGAAAATCAGAGGATATTAGCTCTCAGATTTGAATAATTTCTTTATTTCTTTGATCTATACAGCCACCCATCTCATGTACATGAATCTAGCAAGCTCACAATAAAATAAAATGCATAAAATGCAAAATATAAAAATAAACACAAAACAATTGTTTGGGATCATCCAAACAATTATCAACACAACCAGGAGACCTCAGAATATTTAAGTATTATGTCCTGGTCTTTCTAATTATGTGGTTAAAATATAGAGCTTCCTCTTCCCTTAGGATATGATAACAGTGATGCAATGTCTTCTTCTGGCTGCAGTCAGAATTTAGTATTTGTCAGAGCTATTCGGACAAAGAAAAAATGCCAACTCTGGGTTGGCTGCCTAACTGGACTGTATATCAGGGGTGGGTTTTACTTACCTTTATTACTGGTTCGTAACGGGATCGTGCACGCTGACTTTGCTGACAGAAGCTTCAGCACATGCACAGATCGCCTATGATGACATCCGGGGCAGTGGGCAGAGCTTCCCGCTGGTTTTACTACCAGTTCTTGTGAACTGGTCTGAACCGGGGGCAACCCACCACTGCTGTATATGTGGTACTTGAAACTGGGGCCAATGGTCTGAGATAGTCTAGGAAAGTCAACATATCTTCTTCAATCTGATTCATCTAAGTACTGTTTCCCAGTCACTGTACAATAACTTTCATGTGTGTGGACTTTAAAACTCAGAATTCTCCAGCATGCAAACCAATCCAGAATTCTGCAATTGTAAGTTCATTTTTTTCTTTTTATGACCCTTTATTCTGGATGGAGTCGGGGCGACTAAATGGAGCTGCAATTGTAAATTCATTATTCCCCTCTAAACTTTGAAGGAGGTTGTTAAGCTCCTCCAAAAGTCAATATTGCATTTTAATATGGAAAATAATTATTTAATTTATTTAATTAATTTTTTTTAATAAACCAAATGTAGCCTAATTTTGGCTCTGCCACTCCTCCTAAGCCACTCACTTTGTTTCCTTCCCTAGCAAATGTAACCTGAAAGCAAAAATGTTTAGAACTTTCTGACATATTGCCATCACACTGCAGCAGAAAAAATGATAATATCCTCTAAATTATATTTAATAATCAGACGTTACCATGCACATCCCCAAACACTCATTTGTTAAAGTGGCAAATATTAACAGGAGCCTTTATTTGCAATTTTAAAAAGATGGCAATTCTCCTAAATTGGAACTGTGTGCCAGAACAAGCATGAGATAATTAATTCTAGCTAAGGTTTAGGAGCCTTGTTTTCCCATAAAAACAAAATATTTGAAATAGGTATACCATAGTACATTTGTTCTGCCTTAGACTTTTCACATCTGGCTAGCAAGGTTCTAGTTACGTCTGTGAGGCCAAATTTGAATTCCTGGTTAATGATGCCATAACTGTGTTAATGAATTATGAATTATGCCATAATTTTACACAGGGGAGGAGACTCCAGATTTTTCATGCAAAATAGAATGGCAGCCATATAATAATATAGAGAGCATTATAATTTGATACATAAAAATATCCAAAAGCTTATACATTACAAAATTATCTCCTTGATATTTGATATCTCAATAAGGTGCTTTCAGTGATGGAAGTAAACATTTTTTAAAATAAAAAAGCCATGTACTGAGCTTTTTATTTATTTATTTTTGTTTTATTTTATTTAGTAAATTTGTTTGTAGCATATCTCACCTTGCAACCTTTCCTGCTTCCGTCCAGAAATGGCATTGGATAGGCATCCTAACTTGCTCCCTAATTGTATTAATGAAGAATTACTGGATATTTGGATTTTTCTGGACACATTCAGGACTGAAACAGGACAGTTACCCGGTCCACTAAGCAAAAGAAATGTTGCGTAACAGCCGACTCTGGAAGCTTCAAAGAGGGGTCCACTACCGCTCTTAAAAACTGGCTGTGCAATCCATCTTCTACTCACAGTATTAGAAACTGTTTTAGTCCATTCTAATCTGATTTGATCTATTCAGGATTTAGGTTTTGGTTAATCGCCTCGACTCCCATTGGCAGAAAGGCGGCACAGAGATGGCATGCATGACTAAATACTAAACACCACCTGGAACCAAACCGATGGCGATTTAAAAAAAAAAAATCCTCCACCAAAGCCAAAGACTTTAATCCGCCTATATATGATCACAATAAACTACTAGATCGCTTTGCCGCCGTGGTTTCCAAATCCAAAAAGAGGGCGGTCCCGTTTCCCCTGCTCGGGCTACATGGTCCCGCCTCCAGGTCGCCTATGGGGCGGGCATGCTCAGGTCTGGCTCGCTGGCTGCTGAAATCCCGCCCTGTGGGGGAGCGTCACTAGTCGGATTGAAATGCACACACGGCGGAGGAAACATCCGCCCGCCCGCAGATAACAGTCTGCTAAGGTAGCGCGTGGGGCTGCTTCCCACCAGCGGCGTCGGGGGTCGAGAGCCAGCGGGGAAAGGACGCGCGATGTGTCGGCCAGCTCTGACCAGGCTGCTGCTCTTGCATCTGCTCCTGATCAAGCTCCACAGCGCCAGAGGTGGGTCGAGCAGCGAAGGGGGAAGGACCGGCAGGCTCGGGCTTCAGAGGTGCCGGGCAAGTGCGCGCCACGCGTTCGCCCGGTGCCGGCTTGGTGCCGCTGCTCGGAAGTCGTGGGGTTGGCGTTGCGCGATCCCTCCCCGCGCGAGAGGGAATCCGATTGTGTGCAGGGTTGTGTGCATGTGTGTAAAGGGGCGAGACGAGAGCTATTGTGTGGCTTGGTATCGCCTGGAGACCCGCGTGTGCAGGAAGATGTCCCGGAGTAATTGATAAGGGTGCCACTCGGTGCTCCTGGAAGAGAGTCTCTTTAAGCTAACCTGGAGACTGGTCTCACTTGCGACCATCGTCTGTTCCAAAGCGGTTTTCATTCGCCATCTGCCCATTCATTCTTCGTTCCTCTTCTCCCGCCCCTGCCTCGGTTTAAATGCAACCAGGAATTAAGAGGAATAAATGCGCGACAGCTTGCCGTCTCCCCCCCCTCCTTCCCCTTATACGAGCAATACCCGAATGTATGTAGGATTTTTTTTGGGGGGGTGGGGACGAGAAAGCGAGGAGACTCCGCATCTTTTCTGCGCCTTTCTTGGCTTGGAACGGTCCTTTGTTGTCCACCTGCTTTGCCGATCGCCTTCGCATCCAAGGATAGGGATCGGTCACACCTCCCCTAAAAGTGGCCTGCCCTGGGAAGAAGGGCGCGTTCTTTGGGGGGAGACGCTTCCTCGCCAATAATAGCCTTTGTGCGTTTTCTGAGGAAGGCGAGAATCGTGGCCTAGCGCGTTGAGGGGCTGCCGGCTAAGAAAGGAATTGCGAGGGATCGGCCGGGTGCGTGTGTATGTGTGTGTTTTTGTGCGTGCGTGCACGCGCTTTTTCTCTTCTTGTACATGTGTTTTTCCGTGAAATTCGAAATACTGTATTGGATCTTCTCTCTCTCTCTCTCTCTCTCTTGGCCCCTCGCAGGCTCCGGGAAGGAGTGCGAAGAGAACCAGTTTCAGTGCCGGAACGAGCGGTGCATCCCTTCCATTTGGAAATGTGACGAGGACGATGATTGCTTGGATAATAGTGACGAAGCAGATTGCCGTGAGTAGTAGTAGTAGTAGTGGGTGGCCCTTTCTTCTTGCAGGCGGAGAGGGGGCAGGTGACTCGGTCGCCGGGTTGAAGAGAAACGAAAGACGGTGAAGCAGAGATTTTTTTGGGGGGGGGGGGGGATTCGTGGAAGCAGCCCTGTGCAAGTTGTTCTCTGGTGGAAGACATGGGATGAAATGCGCCTCTTGGTTGTTTTGCCAGTGACAATTATTCCACATTATCCCAGTTGTAGGAAGAACTGGATTAGAATGCCTGTCAAAAGCGGCCCTTTCTGCCGAAAGGAAGAGGATTATATATAGCTCTACCCCTGTCAGTGTTTGTTAAAATCTAGGGGCATTTCCGCGTTTCGTGCAGCGTTTAGAATAAGCAGCTGAAGAGGGTTTTTTTTTTTCCCCCTTTGCAAAAAAATAAAAATGAAAATGAACGGGTAGAACAAATACCTGTTTCAAACTTCTGTGGCAGGCATCCACTCTCTTTATGAATGGAAGTGCCTCTTCTGCCGGGAGTTTTGTGATTGGCTGCTGGAGAAATGCCAGATAGGTCACATGGTACCCGCTCTCCCATAAGGAAGGGGAGGGGGGGTTGAATTCTATTGGAGGTACCCACTTTGAGGCAGCCTTCCTTCCTTCTTCCCCTTTAAGGCCATGCCTTCTTGTCCTTGGTTCAGGGGCGGGCAGTTGTGGAAAATTGGGCTGGCAATCTAAATTTACCCACTTAAAACCATTTGTTATTGCTAAGTCCTGATGATAATTCTATCAGGATCAAGAATGATTAAGCTGTCTACTGAAAAACGTCAACTCAGGTGGGCTCAGTATCATTAAATTCAGTGGCATTTATTTCAGAATGTGCATGCATAAATTCACAACTGTCCTATTCAAATGCTTCCTGATCCAAAATGCAAAGAGGGCAGCTTTATTTATTTATGCCGTTAGGGATAAACTATTCATTTAGTCAACCTGTGATGGAATTCTGTCCTTTAGGCAAACTTTTAAAAGATTTTGAATAAATTGTATCACGGATGATAAGTTTTCTAGATTCACTCTTAGGCTGCTAACAAAAGTTTTGCAATTGAGGTTTAGGAAGATGTCTTGTGGCTGGAACTGAGATGAATTGAGTATTAACTAAGGGACTCCAAGCAGTGATCCTTATTACTATTTTCTGCTCATATTCCTAAAAACAGTCCTGTGAGGCTGTAGACTGAGGACAATTAGTCCAAAGTCACAGTGAGACTAGATGAGAAATTTGAACCTGGTGCTTTCAGGCATTTTTTGAACTATTCCCTTATACATTTTTGGAATACTGATTTAATAGTTTTGTTACATAGTTGTTACATAATGGTTGTGTTGACAAACAGCTGATGGTTGCTGAGTATTTAAAAATGCATTGCTTGTTAATGGTAAAAGATAGTTTATTGACCAATGAGAGATTTAAAAAAAAAACTATGTTGCTTCAATCTGTAGAGGAAATTATAAGGTTCCTGGTTTAAGGGTGAGGTTAAATTCTAAGGGTGGGGTTAAATCTATCTGAAGATTGGTAGTAATCTAGATAAATAATGAAATACCATTGCAGTTTATGGGGTCCTCGGTGGTTGTTCCTGTCAACGGCAAATGCTTAGCTACAGGGTGGAAGTAAATAATAGAATAAATGCTCATTAGTGCTATTTATGCTTTGCTTCTCCCCTGCTGCTAGACACCTGGATAATCCTGGGCTATCTGAGGCTGGTCCTTGCAGTTGGAAAATAGGTGTGTACTACAGCAACTGTTGTTCACGCAAGTGGGTGTTCTCCAAATCTCAGATTCCCTGCAGACGGAAAGATAAATATTAGTGCCACAGATTATTGCTTCCTGGTCTCACTGTCATACAAGTTTATTGCGTAGAGGACACATCTGGAAGAGAAACAAAGCATTCCACTGTATCTGAAGTAGAAAACCCTGAATATTGGTGTGAGGGTAACATTTTTATGAGCTTTTAAGGTATAAACAGCTGTTGCAGTTCAGTTTCATTGGCCTATGTAGTCATCCTATGCAAACATTCTAGAATTTATCATACTGTTGATTTTTCAGGCTTACAAACACGCTCATTAAATAATTCAGAAGGTACTTTCAGTTTTTTTGGATCCTCGGCTTCTTTTTCCAATTTCTTGCTCTTTCCCTAAACAAACTGGATGTGCCTGACGAAGCATAATAAAATTTAAATTACCCATCTAGTTTGCTCCACAATTTTACCCTGAGCTATGGGTGAATGTGTGATGATTGGGAGAAAACTTGAAATGGTAGAAACTGGTGGGATGAGAAAAAGAGCTCGCCTCATCTTTTGGTTTTAAAAGCAATTTCTCTGACATCAAAACATACCATACTTAAGTGGTGTTTTCCAACTAGGAAAAACACTTTTAATGATAATACACTTCTTCAGTTTGATCTCTATATCTAATGACAGGCCTTTGAATATTGCTTCTCTTCATCCCCACTAAAGTTACTTTTCTCTCCCCTTCCATGTTTGCATGCCTAAAGCTGCTGATTGAAGTTACTTGTGGCTGTGTTACACAAATGATTTATGTCAGGCTTAAAGGCAGAATATCCGTGCTAAGATAGGCCTAGGCAAGATGCAAAAAATGAATAGGAACCATCTAAGGTCTACTGTCTATTCTAGAATAGAGAGTGTTTTTTTTTAAAAAAAAAGCATGCTGGCTGACGAATTCTGGGAGTTGAAGTCACACTTTTTACATGTTGCCAAGTTTGAAAAATACTGCTCTAGAATGAGGGGACGGGTGCGTGTGTACAAACATTTCAGCTCGCACTCTTTTTTTAGTTTTAAAGAGGGCTGTTAGGTACAATGGCTTCTGGCCTCATCACTTGTAGACTGTGGCCCCAATTTTCTGTAGCCTTTGGGCTGATACATGGGTGTCAAACTCACATTGTCACGGTGACGTCACATGACGTATTGGGACTTTTTCCCCCTCCGCTAAACTGGGAGTGGGCGTGGCCAATGCGTGACGTATCCAGCCTGCAGGCCATGAGTTTGACAGCCCTGGACTGATTGAAGGGCATCCTGATCTAGGAGAACTAGAAACAAAGCATCACTTTTATTTTATTTTTTTGCTGTTTCAATTAGATACATAAAATGAATTGATACTTTACTAATAAACTATAAATTACTGTGGAGAAGGCAGTCTTTTTTCCCCAGAAACTTTATAATTGCTGCTATTTATACTTCACTGCTTAGGGGCAAGCCAGAAGCAAACATTTACACTCAGAATCTTAGCTGCTTCAAAAACTTTAAATGTTCACTTGCTACATTATCTTTATTTCCAGAAATAACAGCCTGGATCGGCTTATAAAATAAATTACCCCTTGTAGGCATAGCTAAATAAATGTTTCCTAATTTAAAAAAGGAAGCAGTATATTTAAGGGGCATAATGAACAAATTATTATTTTTTTTTCCTGTGGGGGAACAAAGCAGAGCTGGATTAGCTGACGGTACTTGCTGTCCTTCTTCAAAGCAGCCTTTGAACAGAGTCTTGCTGTTTCTGAATTTCCCACTTCCAGGCTGTCCCAGTACTTGCCCGACATGAGGGGAAAGTTAGCTTTAATGGGCTCTTTTCAGCAGCCAACTATAAGTCAGTCTGTCCACAGTTTTGCCTGTCTATGCATGATAGATAAGATTTGGCTATTAAAGATACCGTCCTCTCTGGGTTAGTCTTTTGTGGCAGAATCCCCAAAGATTTTAAGATAATTCTATACATTGTTGAGTCTAATGTAAGGAAATTGAGACTAAAATTATGATTTCTTGATGGAAAGGATGATTGTCAAAAAAATGATGTTTCTGTAACATGGGAATGTGCAGCTTTTTTAGTGGTGATCTGCACTTCACAAGAGAGTGATTTGTTGAGGACCACATGGCAAATGGATGTGTGACCAGAACAAATGGGTGCTGTATGACTAAGACAAAAAATGAAATGTGATACTGTTTTATTTGCAACTAAATTAAATGCACTTAATGGCCACTCCCTAATACATTTAAATCAGTTCCTGTTTATGTCTCCTTTAAAATGATCATCTGATGACTCATTTTTGGAGGGCAAGTGGACCACACTCAAATGTTTTGAGGGATAGTATGAAATGCTGGAGTCTTATTTTTGTACTTCTGAAAAATCAGGGACAGGTTTCTGTAAAGCTATTCATTCAGTGACAAGATTCTGCAAAAGGATATCATTGGTTTTGACCACTCGTTCTTCTGATGCCATATGGTCAAGAAACTGTTTTTCTTGCACCACCTCTTTTTTTTCCTTTGGATGGAGAGGGAGGAAGAAGGAAGAGAAAACCTGAAGGGAAGAGCACACAATTATGCCACCAATTATTGTTAGCTATGCTTTGTTAGACATGAATACAGTGATGTTCTAACATTCTTGATGCTTATAAAAATGTAATAATTTCAGTTCCTGCATTGAATTAATGCACGGTTCTGCTTTGCTCTGTGCAACAAGCAATTTAAAAAACAGCGACCTGAAACCAATTCAGTCTAATAATCTTTATCCAATTTGACCTTGGAAAATTCCCACCACAGCAGGAGTCCCAGTTGATCTGGTATTTTAGACTGTAGCCTGATTGGCTTAATGGTTTATCCAGTCCAGAAGGTTAGCAATGGTTGATGAGGCAGTCATAATCAAAGCATGCAGGTTATCTGTTAAAGTTAGAACTAAAATCAGTCTGTGCATTCCTTCCATCTCCCTTCCTTTGGTTTGTGTTAATTATAGTTAAGTATTATTTCTGAACCAGCATAAGTACACTTTGCTTCTAAACTAGAGGGAGATAAAGCAATTTCTCATCATGAAGACAAAAGGGGTTGTAACTATTTTACTTCCTTTGCAACAATAAGGAAGCAATTTATCATTGCAGCCTTCTAGGATTCTTTTTTTAATCTCACAACTATGGTGGTGAGATTCTTCGTGATCTTCCATCTAAGCATTTACCTACTTATTGTCCTGTTTAGTTTTT